CCGCTCGTCCGTCTCCGTTCACCATCCACCAGTCCGACAATCCTAGCCAACGTTTTGTTGGAAAACTTCTCAGCGAAGTTAATTATGGAGAATGGGTTGGGGATATAACGGATTCTCTTATAGCCAAAAATAAGTTGGGCTTTCTTGATGGGACTATCATGGCGCCGACTTCAGGGGGAGAGGAGTATGATATCTGGAAGCAATGTGATGCAATGTTCAAGGGCTGGCGTAAGACAGCAATGACCAAGAATGTTCACAGTAGCGTGCGTTTTGCCAAAACATCGCGTGATATTTGGCTCAATTTGCAATCGCGATTTGGGCATGGAAGCACTGCTCGTATGTACGAGGTGAAGCGCATGATAAATTTGTTGCAGCAGGAGAAGACTACTGTAGCCTCCTTTTATACTAAGCTACGAGGTTTATGGGACGAGATCAGCTCCTTAGCTCCATCCCTTGAGTGCACATGTGGTGGATGCACCTGTGATGTTAAACGTTGTCAGCGAGAAGCTAAGGAAGGTGAGCGTCTATTTGATTTTTTGATGGAGCTTGATGACGCTTTTAGTACTGTGAAAACGCATATTCTTGCCACGAAACCTACTCCTAGCTTAGGAGAAGCTTATCACTTGGTCATGAGTGAAGAACAGCAGCGCAATATCTCCAATAGCAGAAGGCCGCGCGTCGATGTCGCTGTCTTTCAGGGGCATGGTGAACGCAAAACTGATCGCAATCCTCGGCAGGGGGAGCGTGACATGGATGGGAAGCCAATTTGTAGCCACTGCCAGAAGCCGGGTCACTCACGTGACACTTGCTACAAGCTTATTGGCTATCCACTTCGGAAGGAGAGCGATGAGAAGTCCGCGCAGAGGAAGTAAGATCAGGGTCCTCGTGCATCTCCTCAAGCCGCTAACATTGATGTCGAACCTGATTCTAGCCCGATTCCTGGCCTCACAGCGAGCAAATTCGCACAGCTTAAGTCCTTTCTCAGTTCGGACTTGAAAATGCATGGCCAGGTCTCGTCGGATCCTGTATCCAACATGGCGGGTATGTATTTTACTTCTTCTTTTTCGTGGGTTATAGATTCTGGCTGCAACGAGCATATAGTCACTGATAAATCCTTGTTGATCAATGAGTTGGAGCCTCCTCCAACGTTACAGGTTCGTATACATAATGGAACAAGAGTTCCTGTTCCGGGTATTGGTTCGGTGGAATTGTCTAATGGATTATTACTACGCAGAGTGTTATATGTGCCAGATTTTCAGTGCAACCTGCTTTCTGTTAGTAGGTTGACGGCAGATCTCCCGATAGCCTTAATCTTTCTTGGTGACTTCTGTATTGTTCAGGACTTACCATCCAGGAAGCTGATTGGGATGGGTAAGCTTGTAGATGGGTTGTATTATCTTCAACTATTTGAGGAGCGACATCCGGTGGCACATGCAGCTCGTCAAGCAGTGGATAAGATAGCTCTCTGGCATGCACGGTTGGGACATCCTGCCGTGGCGAAACTGGGACATTTGCAGAAGTTCATTTCCACTCCTCTCTTGCGGCAGCATTTTCCTTGTCATTCATGTATTCGAGCAAAGCAAGTTCGTGACCCTTTTTGGTCTAGCTCAATCACGACGCAGTCATGTTTTGAACTCCTACATTTGGATTTTGGGGTGGTTATCGGATTCCTTCTTTTTTGGGTGCACATTATTTTTTGAAGATTGTTGATGATCATAGTCGAGCAGTTTGGGTTTATTTGTTGAGATATAAATCCGATGTTGGACGTCACTTATTGGCTTTCTTTCACATGGTGCGCACCCAGTTTGGTAAGGAGGTTCGTCGCCTCCAGGCGGACAATGGTCCGGAGTTTGATACTGCCATTTTACGTGCTTATTATGAGGAATCAGGGATTGTTTTGCAGACTTCTTGTACTGACACACCGCAACAAAATGGTGTTGTCGAGCACAAGCACAGACACCTTTTGGAGACTGCTCGAGCATTGCGCTTAACGCAAACTTGCCCCTTGAGTTTTGGGGTGAATGTATTCTTACCGCAGTGTACTTGATAAATCGCATGCCTTTAGTGACGATTGGGAATCATACGCCTTACCACATTATTTTCGATAAAGATCCAAGTTATCACCATGTACGAAGTTTTGGCTGTCTGGTATATGCTCGTGATAATCGACGGGGCTTGGACAAGTTTGCATATCGTGGTCGTGCAGGCATATTTATTGGGTATCCTAGCACCCAGCGAGGTTATCGTGTATATGATTTGGAGGATAAGAGGATTTACACGTCGCGTAATGTCCATTTTCTTGAAGACATATATCCTTATAGTTTTTCTCCTGAGCCTTCTACCTCTTCCTTTCATGACCGCACATCACCATCTTCACCTTCACTTGAGCCGGTTTGGGAGGATGATGTTGGCAGCTCACCTATTGCAGCCTCTCTCGAGACTATTTAGGGTTCCTCCGCTTCACTAGCTGGCCCCGCCTCGACGGACGAGGTATCTCCCAGCACCTTGGCTCCAGTTTCACCCTCGGCAGAGTCAATGCCTCACCAGGTGAATCACCCTCACCTTTGTCTCCCGTTCACTCGTCCTCATCTCCTACTCCACCAGCCACTGCTACTGCTCCCGCCGAGAATCCACCAGCTCTTCGCCGCGGTGATCGAGTAAGACAACTCTCCACTCGACTTCACGGTTATGATGTGGACCTTCCGGGTTGTGCACACAAGGCTACAGTGGACTATCACATAGAGGACTACCTGACATATCGACGTTTATCACAAGCACACCATGCTTTTGTGGCTGCGGTTAGCCGGGTTGACGAACCTCGCTTTTACTATCTGGTCGTTCGCTACAAGCATTGTCGTGATGCTATGCTCATCGAGTACTGTGCTCTGGAGGCCAATGGTACTTGGGAATTGTGCGATTTACCACCTGGGAAGCGTGCTATCGCTTCAAAGTGGGTTTTTAAGGTGAAATTCAATGCTGATGGCACTGTGGAACGCTACAAGGCTCCCCTTTTCGCAAAGGGTTTTACGCAGATAGAAGGCATTGACTTTCACAATACTTTTGCCCCCATTGCAAATTTAGTTACTGTTCGCTGTCTACTCATAGTTGCAGCTAGCAGGGATGGATTATTCATCAACTGGACGTGAATAATGCTTTTCTACATGGGGATTTAGAAGAGGAAGTATACATGGAGATTCCTCAAGGTTTTTCTCGACCCGGCGAGACTTGTGTATGTCGATTACGGAAATCCATATATGGGTTGCGTCAAGCGTCACGCAACTGGTATCAGAAGTTAACGTAGGCTTTTGGGGAACTTAACTTCACGCAGAATCGTGCTGACCATGCCTTGTTTACTTATCGTCGGGGTGCTACCTTTGTTGTGGACCTAATATATGTCGATGATGTTATCCTTACGGGAAATGATATGAAGTTCATTCAACACGTGAAATACTTTCTTCACGATCATTTCACTATCAAAGATCTCGGACTGATCAAGTATTTTCTTGGCATTGAAGTTGCTCGATCACCTCGAGGCTTGGTTCTCAATCAAAGAAAGTATGTCCTGGATATTCTTGCTAAGTCGGGTCTTGCAGCTACTCGACCCAGTCCCACGCTTATAGAACAAAGTCATCTCCTGGGTCGCGATGAGTCATCCCCTGCTGTGGCTGCTGCTTCTTTTCGCAGGCTGGTTGGGCGTTTGCTGTATCTTACCGTTACTCGACCAGATATCACCTATGCGGTCAACTTACTTAGTCAGGCGGTTCATTCGCCCACTCAGGCTCTTCTTTCCACAGCTACTCGCATTCTGCGGTACCTCAAAACGTGTCTTGGTCGTGGTCTTTTCCTTCCGGCTTCTCCGGACCTCTCTTTGACAGCTTACTGTGATGCCGATTGGGCTGGTTGTACTCTTACACGACGCTCCACGATAGATTACTTCATCAAACTGGGTGCTTCTCCAATCTCTTGGCGCACCAAGAAACAGTCTGTGGTTGCGCGTTCTTCTGCCGAGGCTGAATACCGTGCCATGGCTAGCACGGTGAGTGAAGTCCTCTGGCTTCGTTGGCTTCTTCATGACTTGGGTGTTCATATCTCGGAGCCAACTCCTCTCTTCTGTGACAATCAGGCCGCACTTCATATTGTTGCTAATCCAGTGTTCCATGAACGCACTAAGCACGTGGAAATGGATTGCTACTTTGTTCGTGAGCGTGTGCAGTCAGGGGATTCTACCTCTCAAGATTGTTACACAGGAGCAGCTTGTCGATTTGTTCACCTAGGGTCTCAGTGTTGATCAGTTTTCTCATCTTCTGGTCAAGTTCGGACTACTTGATATCCATTCCTTCGCTTGAGGGGGAGTGTTGTGATCCCTATACTTGATGACATGTTTTTATTAAGTTTGGGATCTTAATGTAATTAGCCAACCCGTGTTAGTGTTGATAAGGTTCGGCTGGGGTTTTGTATAAAAGGAGAGCATGACTCACGTCTGCTGCTCCAAGAAAAGAGAAAAGACCTAATCATAAATAAAATATCAGCCGAGAACTCACGTTCTCCGTGGATTAGTCTCGTTCATTCATGAACGGGAAAACCTCGTAAATCTTGTCTTTGTGCGTTTTATTCCTTCATCCATCTCTTGGAATTTTACAGCCCTCGACGTACAAATAAAAGGGCCCAAACCAAGTTGGGCCAGTCCGAGATAGGCCTGTGTGACCAGATAGACTTTCACACTGCCGGGTTCCATTTTGTATCCCTCTCCTCTCCTGTATCTTCCCCCCCCCCCCCCCCCCCCCCCCCCCCCCCCCCCCTCACTTGCCTAGTTTGCTAGCATTTGTAAAACCAAACCCTATCAATAATATAACCGGAATTATTTTACTGGAGTCTAAATTAGCCGATGATTTTTAATGGTGTAAAACGAATAATCCACAATTGAACATTAAATATTACACTGCCAGTTAGTATGTCATGTAGCTTTCTTGAAAATGGCGTTTCTAAATGAGACTTCCATAGCCTATAAACTCCATTCATTCACACTCCAATCATCGGAGTCCACTGAAAGTGGAAACAAGGACCACGTAAACCCTATCAAAGACCAAGTCCTAAATCTCTGAAAAATCATCTCTACTCATCTGGAATATTTCAGAAAGTTACACCACCAAATCACATCACCAATTTGAGATTAATACCCAATGTATATATTGCCACACAACTCCCTCTGTTTCAATAACAGAAAAAAACAGAGAGTATAACTGTCCAAGAACATTTACATCCACATCTACAAGTATAATCAAATGTACGATTCACTGTGACAAAATCAAAACAGAGACCATAAACAGTTCCCAGCTACAAATCAACTCCAATCCCAAGATGCTAATATCGGCGATCAACCCTTTTGCGACGATGTAACTATATATATACGCTGGCTTAAATAGAATAATTCCAGAGAACCAATGGATCAAAACAGCTCCCTTCATCTTCTTCTTCATCCGCCTGAACATAATCCGGTGGAGGGATTAGAAGCCCTTCCGCGAGCCCGGCGATCAACCCGTGAACATCAAATATCGCTTCTTCATCCACAAAGCAATAACTTCTCTTCTTCTCCTCCTCCTCTCCATCGTTACTATCTTCACCAAAATCCAAATCCTGATCCGATCCGGATTCCAAGCCCCGGAACATCTCCGCCGCAAGAGCAGCAGCCTTCCTGACATCCCCTGCCTCCGCGGAAACCGGCAGGGGAAGCCTCCAGGCCGAGTCGGCGAAGTTGAGACACGCGGACACCCCGCGGAAGGCCAGCGCCGCCACGTCATGAGCCCGGGCCGCCATTTCCGGAGTCGGGTACGAGCCCAGCCAGATCCGCCTCGAGTTCCGGTTCGGGTCGCGGAGCTCGCAGACCCACTTGTCGTTGTTCCTCCTCCGCACACCCCTGTAAACCGGGTGCCTCGTCTCCTTGAACACCCGCCGACCCGCCCGCTTCTTCGGGTAATCCGCCGCCACTCTCACCGCCGCCATCTCTCGTTGAGAATCACGAAAAGGAGCCGGCTTTCTTGAAATCTTTCTGGCTAGTAGTGGAATTAGTTTGAAGTAAAAGTTCTGTGATAGGTTTTGTTAGATATATATAATAATGGCCTGGGGATTTGAATTTGAGTACTGTCAATTGAATTTAGTAGGGAGCTACGTCATGGACACGGTTGGGACAAAGAGGGGAAGGTCGAAGAAGGAAAAGCCGTTAAGTGAGTGAACAAGTGGTAGTTTCTCTTTTGGGATGTTGTCATTTGACTGGTTGAGTTGACGTTTTGGCGAAGGACAGCTGGTGCATGACGTGTTGGACACGTGTATCTATCTGTGTGTCTTGTGATGGAGAGGGAGCATGATGAAAGTGAAGTAACAACCCACGTGTCTTTTTTAGAGATACTTGGTTGGATTTTGTTATTAAAATAATAATAGTGACTTGTTTTTGTAGGGGTTGAGTTTTGGAGTTTTGTGGGGAAGTTTTAACAAATGTTGGGGGATCGGAGCTTTGAGGTCCTACTACTTGTTTGGGAAGTAATCCTAACAAGGAGGAAGAGATAATGATATTATCATTGGAGTGGTTTATCGGTTTGAATGGTTATTTTTGTCACAATCTTTGACATGTTTACTTTCACATTATCAATTGAGTTATTTCTCGGGTTTACTAATTAATTAATATTACCTACTGTATTAAGTCAAATATTTTTTTTAAGAAACAGAGCGCTAGGGCGCTCTATCCCTTAAACATTAACTAATCGAGGGGTTTGGACCCCAACCACATCAAAGATTGAAAAGGAAAAGATAAAAGACTTTCCAGGAGAGAGATGATACTGATGTCATGCTGATATGGACATGTTACTCATGTTTACTGATCATAGAGGTACTGACCTGATCAGTTCCCACTTTTGCTTTGCTTTGGCTAATCCTATTGGTCTGCTTAAAATGATTATAGTCGGTTAGTGTCCCAACGGTAAAAGCTCTTCCTGCTTCCTTGTGTTGGGCCTGTATCTGATTAATATCTCTTCTTTTGGGCCGTAATTCAGCCCTGGCATGGCCTGGTCCCAATATTATATTGGACCGGACAGAGCGGAAGGGTGAATACTAAAAATTGAGTAATCACTATAGCTACTAAAATCTACAACCTTTATTATCTTTATTTCATTTTAATTTTAAATTGACGGTGAAAATTAGATTAAGGATAATTTTGAGAATAAAAAAAATACCATACCTGATTTCTATCATTTAAAAAATTAATTTCTATATATTATACCTAAACTCTAGTCCAACCCATTCTCTATCGGCGTCAACACCTCTTATGTTGGTGGTTCCCTTCCTCCGCTGATGGCCACCCTCCCAAAGTTGGCCACCATTGGCCACTCCCGGCGACCACCCTCCCTCCGGCTACCCTTGCCCACTGCTCCGGGCACCCTCCTCCCCCCTCGTCTATGGGAGACGGCTGCGGTGGCCTTCCGCACGTCTGCTTCCGCAGGCGTCGACCATCCCTCCCTCTCTCTCTGACCCTCCCGATCCCCCATCTATCTATCTTCCCTTTCGTTCTTCTTCCGCAGGGAACCCTTCCACAGCTCTCGAATTTTATTTGTCTTTGGGCCGCAACGGCAACAACAGGAAGGAGGATATTCAATTACTTTCCAATAGGTTTGTGGCGTAACGGAGGTGCGAGGTTGGGGATTGGTATATATTTTTTGGGAATTAGAATCTAGTTTTGTTTTGTTTAGTATTGGTATTGTTTTTTTTATTGGTATTGATTATCATAGCAATGGTATTGTTTTTGTCACATTGGTATTGGTGTTCTGTGAAATGGTAGTGTTTTTATTTTTTGAATGATATTGGTGTTTTGTGCAATTTAGTATTTTTTTAATGGATTGGTATTGATTTATTGTTAAAGCGGTATTAGTTCGGCTGAACAAAATCAATGAAAAGATTGAGAAAAAGAAGGAAGAGAGATCTAGCTAAAAATTGTGGAAGTGAGAGAAAGAGAGAGAAAATTGTAGTTAATATATTTTTGTAACTTTCTAAAATGTAATTTATTAAAAAATAATTAATAATTTTTTTCATACCCAATTTTCCCTTAGTAATCACCGTAACCTGTCCCGAATATTTTACGGGTGCATTATTTAAGGGCTATAGTAGGGGCTTCTTTGGGCTGGATGGGAGCCAAATTCATTGGATAGGTTGGGCCACACAAGGAAAATGAAAACCACCTTATTTTTCTTCTAGCACGGAAAGAACCAAACCCAATTTGACAACACAAATTTAATCAACCTGCATAGTCCATCTTTTCTACTAATTTTCTCTCGACCTTGCGAGCGTTTCCCCTTCCCTGGAAAGCGTAGCTTTAGGTTTTTCTAGGGTTTTACATAGGCAGTCGTTGGCTTCTTTGATTCTCTTAGCTTTAGATTCTATCTATTACTGCTTTGGTCCCAGATTGAGAACCTTGATACCTTGATAAGCACGTTGCGTGTGTTTTTGTAGCCTTTTCTCCATAGGAAAGCCGTGTCATTCAAAACACTTATTAGGTTTTCTTTAGGTGTGTTACTTTAGCCTGCTTTCTACAGGTTAGGGTTTTGAGAGAGAGTTTTTTGACGAATGAATCTTACAATCAAGGGGTCTCACCAAAATGTTTGCATAACAAGGAAATCCTAAGCCGCCTTCTGCACTTAGGGTAATGGAGGGATCCATTTTTTCTACTCTTGAAGTTTCTTTTCAAATCTCGGGTGGTCAATACAGTTTGCATGTGCTACAAGAATTTCTTCGGTGGCTATGGAACAAAAGGAGACCACAAGGATAGCTACTGGGGATTCAGCGAAGGAAATAGTTCAAGGAGAGATTATGACATCTACTGGAAAGAAACAAGGAGAGAAGCAAAGATCGACTACAGTTGCAACAATCAATGATGAGAGCTATGGGCTCGAACAAAAACCAATGATCACAGAAGAGGAAAATTAGGATAAGAAAGCCACTAGAGCAATCTTTACCTCGGTGATTTTAGCATATCAGATCGAGAAGTTTGCGTTAGCAGATGAAGATCCTCTGGTAGCGGAAGAAAGTGATTTTGACTGCAATACAAACCATGGTCCTGATCATAGGGTGGGTCCTCTGCAAAATAAACCATGGCAATCTAGATTGGAAAAGGAGGAACAAGGGATAATTTGGACTACACTCCGAGCAAAGTTTGACAGTGAGAGGAAGACAGAGGAAGCGAGACAGGCTGAGAAAAGGGCAATGACTTATTCCTTCGAATTTGGCAGACTAGATGAGCTGAAAAAACTAGAGGGGTGTATAACTTCTCAAGAAATGCAGCAACAGGGGCCCAAATCGAAGTTCCCCTCAGTTAGGATTATGAAGGAACCATGGAAAGGTTCAGCTGAAGAGATTTGGAACCACAGACAGGAGGTGGAACAACGGGAATGGACATTGGATAAGCTAAAAAAGGGCACATAAGGTGAAGGTAGGGAAAAAAGGAAGCTATTATGTTCGCCATCTCAGCAAATGGGATATCTATGGAGCAGGATGCCTTGATAGCCTTGAAAACACCAGCTACAGCCCAACAACTTCAGGCAGATGAAAGTGCGAAACAAAATTCCTAGGAGATAATGTTTCGAGAAATAAGCCATCGTAACTATTGGCCTGGATCTGGGCTTGCGTATCTTATTATCTAGTATTTTATTTATTAATTGTCTTTATTAGTAGTTTCCTTGTTTAAGTAGGATTTGGTTATTGTTAGTAATTTCCTTATAGCAGTAGAAGTCATGTTCTAGATAGGATAAGGTAGAGGTTTCTATGCCTATAAATATGTACTTGGTCTTTCGTTTAATGTCATGTTGAAGATTGGAATTCATTAGTAGTTGTAGTTATCTTCGCTCCTCTGAATATTCTCTTCATTCTAACTCTATTTCTTACGAATTTCTTTCAACATCGTCGACGCACGTTACGTGAAGGTTCTCACCGGAGAAATACATGTAACAATTGGTATCAGAGGCTGGTTGTTGTGCGACTAACATGATCTGGGAAGATGGCGCCTAAGAAGTCTACGCAAGCATCGTTCACTTCCGGACAACTCGTGTTCAGCGAGGAAGTCTTCCAAGGCCTACTTCAGGGTCAGCAAGTCGTGAGCCCGTGACCGGTCAACTTGATGAGGTCGCCCGACGACAACAAGGGTTCGAGGAGAGAATTTTGAAGGTCAAGACCTCTATGGCGCAACTCCAGGCATCCCTACCACAACAGATCCAGATGACCATCATGCAAGGCCAGACATCCATGGCGCAACAACTCTAGGAGGCAATGGCACAACAACAGACCGATTTAATGGAGATGCTGGCACAACTAATCACTAGCTTTGACGGAGGGAAAGCGACGAAGGTGAGTCTGAATCCCACGCGATGTTCAACCATGGATGTTTCGGTCGGGGGAAAACTCAAGGAGCTAATCGTAGCTCAAACCGTACCATCCTCCGCACCATCAACTATGAAGGGCATTGCCAAAGAAGAGCTAACCGTAGCTCTTTAATCATCTTCCGCTACCAATGATGAGCTAGCCGTAGCTCACATTCAACCATCGATCATACCACCACTCATCACCGTCGCGATCTCGACTACCGTAGACGAGAAGTTTGTGATCATTACCGCAAACGGGGAGCTAACCGCAGCTTCCTTGTCGTCATACGCTGCATCACCCACTCCCGCCGATGAGCTAACCATAGCTCAAACTCAATCATTGATCGCACGACCACCAATTGCCTCACCTGTCGTAGCCGAGGAATTTATTCATGCCACAACCACTACTACATCCATGGTCGTTCAACCCCCAGCGATCATCACCACCACTACAAGCAAACCACCGTCGCTTGTATTCACGAGGGAGGAGGCAACAACGATGGCAACCTCATTGGTCGTTTCCGTTGCCGCGTAGCTGGAGATACCTCTTAAATCACCGATTCTGCAATCTTCCACTGCTATTACGACAGATGACACCTTAGCAGCTGCAAAGTCGGCTCCATCGGACGAGGGCGTCTCTACTTGGATCGATATCATGGAGGGAGGAACGACTTGCGATTGTAGCAGTGACATCAAGATTAACGTTCTATTCGACCGAGACAAATTTGGAGTAAAGATGAAGGCGAACAAGGATCTGGGAGGATTCGCTATCAAGGGAGCCGCATCTCCGTCGAAGGTCAAAGACCCCGAGTCGCCATTTGACTGTTAAATTTACTTATTATTTATATATGTATCAATCTGTAATTAGCCACAGTTAGTCTATTATAATTAGGAAAAGGTTTCGCCCTAACCCTATAAAAGGGTAGCCGAGCCTCCTTTGTAACCTAACGGATTATAGTGCATATTCTTGAAGAGCACAGCCTCTTCCGTGGATTAGTCCCGTTGATCAGGGGTACCACGTTAAATCTTGTGTGTCTAGTTATTGCGTTATTAATTCTTTACATGGTATCAGAGCCCCTACTCTAAGAAGTTTGCTTTATCCTCGGCGGGTTTACGTTTGTTGCAGCCTTGTTCTCTTCGTTTGGTCTTATTATTTGGAGAAGGGTTATTGGTGTTGCTTCAGCTAGGTGTCCGCTTGCGGTTCCTTTGGTGCTGCAATTGGGCATGTGCTCGGTTAGTTGCTCAGGGCTTCAAACAGGAGTATGGGATTGATTATGACGAGATCTTTGCTCCTATGGTGAAGATGCAAACCGTTCGTTCTGTCCTTGCTGTTGCTGCGATGCAGAATTGGCCGTTATTGCAGCTTGATGTGAAGAATGCATTTCTTCATGGCGACTTGAAGGAGACGATATATATGGAGCGACCTCCTGGGTATAATAAAGGTAATTAGTCCATGGTCTGTAAGCTGGTTCGTTCTTTGTATGGGCTCAAACAAGCACCTCGTGCTTGGTTTGAAAATTTTCAAGGTACATTGCTTCAGGCGGGTTTCTCGCAGAGCCAGAATGACCCTTCCCTTTTCACTCGGCATATTGTGGATGGTGCAGTGATTCTCCTTGTCTATGTGGATGATATGATTATCACGGGTAGTGACCTGGAAGGCATCAGGGACGTAACGACCACTCTACGAAATGCGTTCAACTTAAAGGAGATGGGAGAGGTATCGTATTTTCTGGGACTGGAGGTCAGCAGGTCTTCTCGCGGTTTGTTTGTGTCTCAGCGGAAGTATATTCGCGGTCTCTTGGAGTCTGCTCAGTTTGAAGACTGTGTTCCCTGTTCCACTCCGATGGAACAAAATCTTAAGTTGAGCCGCACCGAGGGAGATGTACTAGCTGATCAGTCGCAGTACAAAAGTTTTGTTGGCAGTCTTATTTATTTGACTCACACTCGTCCCGATATCTCGATGCAGTTCAGGTGGTGAATCAGTTAATGGGAATTGCTACTAATCTTCATTTGGCGGCTGTTCATCGCCTATTACGCTACTTGAAACAGACTGAAGATGTTGGGATGTACTTTCTAGCTGATGGTGATCCTGTGGTAGAAGCTTTTGCCGATGCTGACTATGCAGGTTGCGTGGATACGAGACGGTCTACGTCTGGTTGGTGTGTTCGTCTTGGCAGATTGTTTGTGTCATGGAGGTGTAAGAAGCAAGATAAAGTATCGAAGTCGTCTAGTGAGGCTGAGTATCGTTCTATGTCGGAAGTTAGCTCGGAATTGGTTTGGTTGCGTCGGTTGCTAGAGGAGTTGGGTGTTACTTGCAGAGTCCCCATGCACTTATATGGGGACAACACCAGTGCTATACAAATTGTAGTTAATCCGGTAATGCACGACCGGACTAAGCATATTGAAGTACATGTTCATTATATTAGACAACTTGTGGCCGAAGGATTGATACAGATTGGGTATTTGTCGACTGAAGATCAGACTGCAGATTTGTTGACAAAGTCGGTGGCTTCTAGTCGACATTGGTACCTATTCTCCAAATTGATGTTGCACCCCGCACATCAATTTGAGGGAGGGTGTTAAAGTTACTTATTATTTATGTATTTATCAATCTGTAATTAGCCACAGTTAGTCTATTATAATTAGGAAAAGGTTTCACCCTAACCCTATAAAAGGGTAGCCGAGCCTCCTCTGTAACCTAACGGATTATAGTGCATATTCTTGAAGAGTACAACCTCTTCTGAGAATAAGTCATGTTGATCAGGGATACCACGTTAAATCTTGTGTGTCCGGCTATTGCGTTCTTAATTCTTTATAGTGACCGCCATGATTTCGGATCGCCGGTCAAGACAAGGAGAACCCAAACGACTCTCGCGACGATCCCAACCACTGACGAGGTAGTCCCAGTTGGTTCGCCACTTTATCTACCATCGTTCTTCCTCAGTTGTATCGAAGGAGAAGATATCCTTACGGTAGTTGCTCCAACTGTGGAGACATCATACGTCACGATCGCAGGCGGAGAGGAACCTGCAGTCAAGAATTTTGTCGCTGTAGTTTTTCTTTCCGATGGTTCTCTTTCCATCCTTGGCGAATGCAACCTCTCACACTAGTGACTTCCATCCTACTTGGCGAGACAGAGGTGACTCAATCAAAGAACTCAAAGCTGATCGCCGTGCTATCACCATCCCAGCGGACGCACCCAGTTCTTTAAATGTGGAGTTTTACAGGTCCAACGACGGCGTCCGAAAGCTTAAGAAGGATGCGGTCCTATTCGCTCATCATATGCAGGCTGAGAAAATTGCGAAGTGGTTCGACGAGGTGCTAGGATTGAAGTATGGTAAACGAGCCAGAAAGGTGACAAGTGCTTGCGGCGGGCCCTGGACCGAGAAACTGAATATGGACGTTAATATGAGAATGAACAATTTGAACTATAAGGTTGATTCCATGGACATGGAGCATGCATGGTCTTTTGTTCAATTGAGAAGGATATCGCATGAACATCTAGCCCTTAATCCATTCTCAATCATAATTGTCTCCTGGTTCCGTACACATTTAGACAATTATCAAGAAGCAAATATTGGGTGAATAAGCTTGGAAGGGTAATATTGGGTGAAGCAAGCCGGAGTTTGGCCTATGAATATGGTCCACGATGGGGATACAAATTTGGAAGGAAACGCAAAGTCGGGGTGCATGGTGATGTAAACGTAAACCACGTTTCAAGGGTTTTGCTTATAACTCACAAGCGAGAGAACGACGGAGGTGTCGAAATATCTTTTAATTTATTGATTGGATAAATCAGACTAATGTCGTAGTTACAAGATATAGGCGACTAAACCTAATACGTAACCCTAGCTAACCTGAAATCTACTATCTATCTTAGTCGACTACTAATGCTACGGACTCGACACAGACTTGGACCCAAACTCTACCTCCCAACTCCCTATTCGGCCAATGTAAGTTACGTACTAACACCTGAACGAATTAACCCATTAACACAAATACGTATACTACCCAAAGCCCAACATTTATTCTCATCAATCCCTCCCACTCAAAGAACCTTGGTCTCCAAGGTTCAGTTCAATGCCGAGACGCGGACGTTGACGACGAAAGCAACAACAGCTCTTGCGGCGTGGAGGCTTTGATCGCCTCCTGAACTTCCAGCTCCCGGTTCGGCCTCTAATCTTCTTCCTCTCCTTAGCTGAGACCCTCGACTTCACAGCTGGATCATGGGCAGGGTACAAAATTGCACCTTCGTGGCGTGACTTGGACCATGGTGCAAGCTTTGTAGTATAATTATCATCATTATAGTTTAGGCCCATGAAAAATGTATGCATGTGGAGAAGGACACAAATTGGCAGCCGCCAAAATCCACCGCCTTCACCAAAATTAGGTTGCACCTCATCCGGTATCGCCGTTTGCGTCTTCGACTTGTCCCGCACATGTCTTACCAACAAGCGCCGTGTTGACGTCGGTTGTTCGAGAAAACCCGCACAACTCCCTTCGCCTGTAACCGCTACGCCTTCCTTGTGGTGAGCTTCAACTTCGAAACCCTCCTTGTCATTTGCGGATCGATAGATGATAGCCTCGTCGAGGTGGTGACCACCGCGACGCACTGTTTCCTTCCCATCGCTTGCAGATCGTTGGGTGACAGCCTCACATAGGTGATAATCACCATTGCGCATTGTTTCCTTCCCGTCGATCTTATTGACGGAGATCTCCATCTCCTCCGTCACCCTGTTTTCGTTGTCCTCGACGCGGGCCATGTCGTCGTTGCTTTGCTCTTCTAAGAGGTTCACGGTGTGTGCCAGGACCATCAGCAAGGTGGTGTTCGTCTTGTCCAGCCGTCCGGATAGCTCCCGCGTGGTGACCTCTATCTCCTGGAGCATGGACTCCATGCACTCGCCTCGGGCCACTAAGCGCTCGGTTGTAGCTGTTATGGCCGCACATCGCGCTGTTGCCGATCCTTCTATCCTGCGGAAGCCGCATGCTCTGATACCAAATGATGGAAACGTAACCCACGTTCCTAGGGTTTTGCTTATAACTCACAAGCGAGAGAACGATGTAGGTGTCGAAATACCTTTTAGTTTATTGATTGAATAAATCGAACTAATATTGTAGTTACAATATATAGACGACTAAACCTAATACGTAACCCTAGCTAACCTGAACTCTACTAACTATCCCAGTCGACTACTAATGCTACAGACTCAACACACACTTGGACTGAAACTCAACCTCCCAACTCCCTATTCGGCCCATGCAAGTTGCATACTAACACCTAGACGAATTAACCCATTAACACAAATACGTATACTACCCAAAGCCCAACATTTATTCTCATCACATGGATCATTCAGGGGTATGGAGAAATTCACGACCACAAAAGTTACTAGTGATGGAGGACTCGATTGGGTGCACAAGCTGAATTAGAAGTATCGAAAGCGTGAACCTTGGAGACAAGGTTCTTTGAAGGGGGGAGGAATGTTATTAGAATCAAGCCATTGTAACTACTGGGTCTCGATCTGGGCTTGCGTATCTTATTAGTTAGTATTTTATTTATTAATTGTCTTTATTAGTAGTTTTCTTGTTTAAGTAGGATTTGGTTATTGTTAGTAATTTCCTTATAGGAGTAGGAGTCATGTTTTAGATACGATAAGATAGAGGTTTCTATGCCTATAAATTTGTTCTTGGTCTTTCGTTTAATGTCAGGTTGAAGATTGGAATTCAATAGTAGTTGTAGTTATCTTCGTTCATCTGAATATTCTCTTTGTTCTAACTCTCTTTCTTACGAATATCTTTCACCATCGTCGATGCACGTTACGTGAAGGTTCTCACTGGCGAAATACAGGTAACAGATAACCCCTAATGCAAGGAAACAAGTAGACTCACAAGTGTTGGTGGAACATGCCCAAATGATAGAGACGCAAGAATCATGCAATCCGAAGATGACAGATCAGAAGGAAGCAAATGACAAAGTTCCAAACACTGTGAATCATTTTTCAGACAACTTCAATCAAATCTCTAAGTATCGGATCTGATAGTGTTCAATATGGGAGCTATACCTCAAGGAAAACCAGGAGATAAGAAAAGGGGAACATGGAGAAAGACACAGGATCCCAGGCCAACAGAGCATAAGCGGGAACTCCCACCTTTAACTCCTCAGGAAATGACGACTTTGGATGAGAAAAATGAAAGGAGGAAGGCTTGCAGTCATTTACAGGTAAATACTGAAGAAGTGCAACAACAGCCAGATGTGGTAGCTATTGTATCAACTTTGGATGGCAGTTTGGCAGACTCTGCAAACAAGCAAGGCCGCCAACTCAATGATTTGCCTCAGTTATAATTGTTGAGGGTTGGGAACCCCTTGGCAATTAGAAAAGTGAAGTCTCTTCTCGAAAGACAAAACCCCATGTCACTTTTAATGGAAATAAAGAAAAAGCATCATGAATGGAGAGCAATGTTACACGAACTTGGATGGACGAATGGTTTCGGAGTTGGTTTAGAGGGAAGAGCAGGAGGATTACTTGTTATGTGGAAGGATGAAGTGAAGGCAGAAATTAAAGATTATTCAAATAACCACATTGACATGCTAGTTGAGGATCAAGAGATGTCCTGAAGACTGACTGGTCTATACGGGTGGCCTAAGCAAAAGAATAGAGGAAGAACATGAAGGTTACTGGAAGATCTGAATGGCCTAACTAACATGTCGTGGATGGTGATGGGTGACTTTAATATCATACAAAGCTATGAGAAAAAGCATGGCATGTGGCAGTGGCTAAGGAGATGGAAGATTTCAATCATGCCCTTGCTTATTGTGGGCTAGAAGACCTAGGGTACTATGGAAGGAGGTTTACCTGGGATAACAACCACAAGGATGATACTTTTTTTGAGGAAAGACTCGATAGAATGGTGGCTACAGCCTCTTGGAAGGAGTTGTACCCACATGCTAGGGTGAATCATTTGAGATGTTGTGGTTCTGACCATAACCCCATTACTTTACTCACTAAACTAGAAGATGAGGAGGAAATTACGTGGGGTAAAAATTTAGATAGCAACATCAGGATATTAAAAACATAATAAGCGAAGGCTAGGGAGTGACACAACCAGAGCCTGCTCGATAGAATATCAGGGTGTGAAACAAAGCTCAAGCAATGGAGTCAGGAGGTTTTTGGAACAATGCAAGCTAGGAAACACAGAATTGAAAAGACCCTGACTAAAATAGAAAAGCTCGAGATGACTACCTCGCTAGTCAGTCAACATCATGCGCTTGAAAGTGAATTGGATGAGATCCTGGAACAGGAGGAACTTCATAGGAAGTAAAGATCTAGATATGATGGGTTAAGAGAGGGAGATAAGAATACCAACTACTTCCATAGAAGAGACTTGGAAAGAAGGAAGAGGAATATGATAAAAAAACTGATGGATGAAGGGGGAATTCCTTATAAAGGGCAGGAAAAGGTTATTGAGTGCCTTGTTAGGTTCTACAAGAACCTTTTCAAGGCAGGAGGAAGAGTACCGAGTAACACTGTGATAGATGCAGTCCCTAGAAAAGTAACTGAATCTATGAATGAAGACCTCCTAAGTCCTTTCTCGAGAGAGGAAATATGGGGAGCTCTAAAACGTATGGGACCACTCAAGGCTCCATGTGCTGATGGACTACCTGCGGTTTTCTTCCAAAGAATTGGGATATTGTAGGAGATGATGTCACTCGAGAATTACAAGGCTTTCTAGAAGCTGGAGCTCTCCCACAAGCTCTTAACCATACACAGTTGGCATTGATCCCCAAAAAGAAGGTTCCTAAGAGTCCAGTGGAATTCAGACCTATTAGTCTGTGTAAGTTACTTTATAAAATTCTCTCAAAATTCCTGGCTAACAGACTTAAAAGGATTCTGGAAGATATTATTATGGAGAATCAGAGTGCGTTTGTTCCTGGGTGATTGATTACAGACAATGTCATCATTGCATTTGAATGTTTTCACCCGATGTCCAAGAAAAGAAAGAGGAAGACTAGCTAAATGGTTGCAAAACCTGACATTACTAAAGCCTATAACAGAGTAGAGTGGGACTTTCTTGAAGCTATTATGGTTTGATTGAGGTTTGCAAAGAGATGGATTAATCTGATTATGACCTGTATTTCCACAATCTCTTTCTCAATTTTGGTATATGGTCACCCATCAGAGATTTTGGTATATTAATCAAGAGGCCTAAGACAGGGAGACCCCATCTCTTCTTATATGTTCTTTCTTGTTGCGGAAGGACTATCAGGTCTGATTTCTAAAGAGGAGAGGGACAAACAGATCACTGACATAAGGGTTTAAAGGGTAGTGCTAGTTATATCTCATATCCTATTTGATGATGATAGCATACTATTCACAAAACCACCAGACAGGAATGCAAGAAACTGAAGAATATCCTAAGCCTCTATGAGGCAGAGTCAGGACAACATGTGAACTTAGTGAAATCGGAACTATCTTTCAGTCCAAATATCGAGGAGACACATGGACAGTTGGCCACTATACTGGGAGTGAAATTAGTTGACATCCACGAGAAATACCTTGGTCTTCCTACTAGAGTTGGTTGGGAGAAGAAAGTTGTGTTTGGTTGATAAAGTTCGGCAGAAGGTGAAGCACTGGAGAAGCAAACTACTATCCGTAGGAGGGAAAGAGACTCTTGTAAAGTCTATTGCACAAGCCCAAATGACTTATGTGATGTCACTTTTTCATGTACCAATGGGGATTTTGAAAGAAATTCAAAGGTCGATTGCTAATTTTTGGTGGGGGCAGCAGGAAGAGGAAGGAGAACCCATTGGCTTCGATGGGAAGAACTCTCTAAACCAAAGAAAGTTGGAGGACTAGGTTTCAGAGATTTATAGGGTTTCAACAAAGCTCTCCTCGGCAAGCAAATTTGGAGACTAATCTCGAGACCTAATTTCCTAGCTGCTAGCGTGTTAAAAGAAAAGTATTTTCCCAACAGGGAAGTTATGAAAGCGGAGCAGGGCTATAATTCTAGCTTTCTATGGAAGGGATTATTATTGGTCAGAGATATTGTGGCCAAGGGATGCATATGGAAGCTGGAAAATGGATGCAGTATCAACGTTTGACAAGATAAGTGGGTGCCTGCAGCAAAGGATTTCAATATTAGATCCCCACCGACCCCTATTGGAGATACTACATCAGTAGCTGAACTTATCGACTATGAAGAGCGTTGCTGGAAGATGGATGTGCTTCAAGCACATTTTCTGCCTGAAGATCGAGTAAACATTCTAAAAATTCTGATCCCATGGGAGATGGATAGAGACGAAAGAGTGTGGAGTGCGGAGAAGTAGGGGACTACACAGTTAAGTCTTCTTATAGACTTTGATTTAATCGGGATGAAGAAGAGAGGGGAGAGATTTATTCCCCAGTAAACTGAGCTAGACTATGAAAGCTTGACATCCCACATAAAGTAAAGGTTTTTGCTTGAAAGTGGTTGCCAATATACTCCCTACGGGAGCTCGAATTATGGAACGAACTCAAAAGGAAAGCAAAGGCTTCCCCTTCTGTGACCTTAAAAAAACAAAAAATCATATTTCGAAGGAATGTGGCTGGGTTCAACGAGTATGGAGTCCTAGTTTGATCATTTCTATGTTCAATCAGGGTGAGAATCTAGCCTCAGAGGATTGGTTCTGCGAGCTGCAAGAGAACGAGGCGGGCGAACAGATTGAGCAATTCCTTGTAGCTTTATGGTTTATTTGGGACACAGGAATTGCCAGTTATGGAACAAGCCTAAGATGGAGGAATGAGAGATAATGGGTCGAGCGAGAAGATGGATTGACGAATACCTGGAGGCTCAACGGAAGAGGGATCCCACTCACAGCGGCGGATCCAGAACACAAAAGAGCACTATGCCGCATTTCATTATAAAATTAAACCAAAAAAATATAGTGATTAT